GCAGTAAGTGATACCTGCTGAAGTGAGAAATGAACCCACCCCCCAGAGCATCCAGACCCACCACACACTGTAGCACCCTGCTTGTGGTTAACGCTTAGCTGGAATGAAATATTCAACGCAGCAACAGAGAAATTAAAATAATTATTTATTTGTCAGACAAATAAATGAGAGGCACAGTGGTATATGGTTACCAAGCTCTGGCCTGCCTCCTGCCATTATGGCCAGCACTTATATTCCCTTAATCCAGCCCCCTTTGCTCCTCCTGTGGCTGCCTCTGTCCCATCAGCCTGGTTGAAATTCCTATTGGCTGATTGGTATAACCAATCACAAAAATACACTCATATCCTCCTGTCCTTATATGGAACACAAAGAGCTATATATTGTTACATCTATAAATGACAAATAAGTATTAATATATCTTACATGTGTCTCAACAAGGAATCTTAATTACCAGCTCACCTCTTGCCCTCCTTGCCCTACTGCCTTCTAAAACAAATGGTTAATCTTAAATTTTTATCTTAAACATATGTCAAGGATCTTGAGTTTCACATCAACATTGAAAGATCTCCTTCATTTGAAGGTTTCTAAACAAATGTCTGACAACTTATATATCAGGATTGCTCGGATGGCGTCTTCTTGTCTGGCAGGGGGCTGGGCTCAATGGCCCCTGTGGTCTATTCCAACTCTAGGACTCTATGATTCTATGAAATAAGAATCTAACATCTAAATTTGTTACTTTCTAAATCCTTTGCATAGTTACATTTAAACCAATATATTTAAGCTAATATATTTCATACATTATCATAGGTAACCTTTTAAAAGAATAAAGCTTCTCAAAGTAGAAAGGAAGGAACTCAGTAAAAAAGGAACACAGTAAAAAACCGTTTTAAAAGAAGCCTCTTCAGTTTACACCCCCCCCTCTTCAGCCAGTTGCTTGTTTTCCATGTGCTCTTGACCTTTTGTCCTGTGGCTCAAGTTTAAGGCACATGGTTTTATTTTACTGTTTACTAACTCTTAATTATGTTGGGTCCGTAACCTTGCTCTTTAACCTGTAATTCCCCCCTTTCACGACTTTGAGAATTGTTTTCTGCTATAAATCAAGGGGCCCCTTGTCTAGGAGGAAAACATTGCCAAGGTTCTCTATAAACAGCTGGCCTTCTTGCCTGGCATGAAACATTTGAAAATCTAAGCCCATTTAATTTAGGAACCTGATCAAAATATAAGCCAATATATGCCTTGATTAAAAATGCAGTCTATATTCAGATGCCACAACACCAGGGGCTAACCTTTTCCATAGCTGCCCCCCCCCTCAACTCCCTCTCTGTCAGCCTAATCCAGAGTGAGTCCTGTCAAATTGGACATGGACCCTAGAGTGCAAATAGCAGACATGGCATGGAGACATTGAAATAGTTGGTCCGTGTGGGGGTGGGAGCAGGCCATTTCTACACAATCTCCTTGTGTTACGATCACTGGAGATGTTCTTTCAAGATCATGAAAGACATTCTTTTCAAGGTCTTGTATTAAAAGTGTTGGTACAGTGGTACCTCGCAAGACGAATGCCTCGCAAGACAAAAAACTCGCTAGACGAAAGGGTTTTTTTGTTTTTTGAGCTGCTTCGCAAGACGATTTTCCCTATGGGCTTGCTTCGCAAGACGGAAACGTCTTGCAAGTTTGTTTCCTTTTTCTTAACACCGTTAATACAGTTGCGACTTGACTTTGAGGAGCAACTCATAGAACGCGGTGTGGTAGCCTTTTTTGAGGTTTTTAAAGACTTTGGTGATTTTTGAAGCTTTTCCAAAACTTTCCCGACACCGTGCTTCGCAAGACGAAAAAAATCGCAAGGCGACAAAACTCACGGAACGAATTAATTTCGTCTTGCGAAGCACCACTGTATTTCACAGTAAAATACACAGGTGTTGTCTGTTCAATTCAGTTCAGTTCCTTCAGGCCAGGCCAAACCCTTCCCTCAGGATTTTCCCTCCAAAAATTCTCCTCAGAGCACGGAGGACGGGCCTTAGGGGCCCTGCTTCCTGATTGGCTCTCCCCTCTCAGCACTCTATTCCATTGGCTCTCTCCAGTGCCCATCTGATTGGACCAGCATTCCCTGCTTCTTCATCACTAATAAGAGGGTCAGTGAGCCAGGAGATTATTATAAAGCTAACCTGTAAATGGATTTTCGGAGGAGGGAGACAGGAGAGCAGGGCAGCATTTGACAGTGAACATGGGCAGTGTGTTGTGGTCCTCGGAAACGTTCAATGCTAGCATTTCCCAGTAAAATATACAGAACATTTCCTTTCGGTACTAGATGAAAGTGAGGTCCTACATTTGCCTCACAGGGTTGTGACCAGAGGCTGAAATCAATTTGTAATATTTATTTTAACCATGTCAGCAGAAATGCATTTCAGTAAATGCATTTCAGCTTATGAAATGCATAGGCACCATCCACAAAAGGAAAATTCAAAACCACGTAATGTTACTACTACACTACTAAATTTATTACCTGCCCTGCACCAGCAGGTCCAAGGAAGGGGCACAAGAAGTTAAAATTCAGCATTCAAAATTAAGTTAAATTACAGTCACGGGAATAGGATGGGTGCTGAAAATACACTTCTCAAGTGTCAAAAGGCCAGGGAAAAAAGGTTCGTCTTCAGCATTTGCCCAAAACTGTACAAGGAAGGTACAAGATAAATATCTGGGGAAGGAATATCACACCTTAGGGAACCACTGTAAGAAGCATTAAAGTAAAGGGACCCTTGACCAGTCATGGCCGACTCTGGGGTTGCGGCGCTCATCTTGCTTTACTGGCCAAGGGAGCCGGCGTACAGCTTCTGGGTCCTGTGGCCAGCATGACTAAGTCGCTTCTGGCGAACCAGAGCAGCGCACAGAAACACCGTTTACCTTCCCACCGGAGTGGTACCTATTTATCTACTTGCACTTCAGCATTCTTTTAAACTGCTAGGTTGGCAGGAGCAGGGACCGAGCAACGGGAGCTCATCCCGTCGCTGGGATTCGAGCTGCCGACCTTCTGATCGGCAAGTCCTAGGCTCTGTGGTTTAACCCACAGCGCCGCCACCCGCGTCCCGTAAGAAGCATTAGGAGGGTAATATTCATAAGAATGGCCAGTCTAGTCATTCAAATGTGGAGAAAGAGCATAGACGTTACAGTGAATAACAAGCAACAGTCTCAGATCCACTGGTGGACCTGACTAACCTAGATTCATTAAATCCAATGGGTCTACTCATAGTAGGGCTTGATTACATTGGAACATAATCTGCGAAACAAACGACACGAAACCATCTGGTAAAGTCACCATTGCTTGCAAAAGTTTTATAGCATGCTAATTTAACAACTGATAAACGCATACATTCCCCCAGCTAAACTCTGAAGAGTCCTCTTATTCAAAGCTTCCTGCATACCCAGTTGTGTGTAGCATTTAAATTTAACGGAAATACATAACTACCAACCCAGAGAGGAATTCTAGGGAGCAGGCTGCTGTGGTCTTAGATGCAGGTGTTTGGGATCTACAACCCAAAGAGGAAATTAGCCATGAAATCTAAAAGCAATGTTTTCTGATCTCTGTCTGTGTCCCAGAGAAGCGCTTAAGTTACAGGAAAAAATGAGAAAACAAACCTGAAGTGAAGATAAATCTAGTGGAGAATTTTCTCTGCTCACCAACATTTCCAAAAAGTATTCAGAAGCATATTGTAGAAGAAGATAGCCATTCTGCTAGTAGCCATCGAGAGACTTTTCCTCCATTAATTTGTCTAACCCTCTTTTAAAATCATCCAAGTTGGTGGCCATCAGAACATATTGTGAGAGTGAACCCTATCATCCAGCTATGTACTGTGTGAAGGTTTTCCTTTCCCTGTCCCGAATCTTCGAACATTTAGCTTCACTTGAGGTTCCTGAATTCAAGTATTATGAGAAAAAGCTCTCTCCTTTCACTTTCTCCACACAGCGTATAATATTACACAGTTCTATCATGTCCTCCCTTCTCTAAACTAAAATAGCCCCAAATGTTGGGAGGGGCCGGAGAGAAGGATCGCAAGAAAGAAGCTTGGACAAAATAACCTGAGAACAGATAGGGCAATATTCAGAAACCAGCAGGAGAACATCTCAACTTCTCCATTGCTGACCTAAAAGTAGCCATTCTTCAAGAAAGGGACATCACCAGGAGATGTGATGTGAAACCATTGAATTACAACCAGGCTGGCCTTACCATTAGGCAGTCAGGTGACCACCTCAGGCATGAGATGCCATGTGGCAGCAATAGCTACCTTTTTCTTCCAAGCACAATGCAGGATGAGGTCACCTCAGACACCATTGTATTTGCCTTCTCCGCATGGACTTTCAACTCAGGCAACAGAATGCCTTGGGCTGGCTATGATGATAACTTATCAAGGAGGCCATGCCCCACCAATTGTAGCTTGAATTATGAGAATTATTTTCTACTCCACTACGGGCAATAATTAACATAGCAATGGTAGAAAATGTTGCACTATAGTCATTTATGGCTGTCTTGAATGGTCAAGTTACCATATTGCATACATTTACGGTTTAAAGGTAAAGGTAAAGGTACCCTTGCCCGTACGGGCCAGTCTTGACAGACTCTGGGGTTGTGCGCCCATCTCACTTAAGAGGCCAGGGGCCAGCGCTGTCCGGAGACACTTCCGGGTCACGTGGCCAGCGTGACATTGCTGCTCTGGCGAGCCAGAGCCGCACACGGAAACGCCGTTTACCTTCCCGCTAGTAAGCGGTCCCTATTTATCTACTTGCACCCGGGGGTGCTTTCGAACTGCTAGGTTGGCAGGCGCTGGGACCGAGCAACAGGAGCGCACCCCGCCGCGGGGATTCGAACCGCCGACCATTCGATCGACAAGTCCTAGGCGCTGAGGCTTTTACCCACAGCGCCACCCGCGTCATTTACGGTTTACTTATCATCATAATCATCATCCCACCCTTACTCCCAAAGTAGCCTAGGATGGAAAACACACAAGCAATAAAACAATTAAAATATCTTAAAACAATCTTCCATACATACAGAGACTGTGTGTAGTTTTTGACATACATTGTACTTTTTGCAGTATATATTAGCAAGTCTCACTTTTAATTATATTAATATAGGGTTGCCATACATCTTTCCGCACCCCATGTGTGATTTTTTTTTTCCATGTGCAGAAAGACTTCTGTTGTTCCTGAAACACTTTACACACACATTTAATTTCTATTGTCTCTACCTGTGTGTATTCTTTGATGTGAAGTAAGGTTACTGCTCTGACTGAAGCTCTTTCCACATTTCATACATTTATAGGGTTTCTCCCCTGTGTGGGTTCTCAGATGAACAGTAAGGCTACTACGTACACCAAAGCTCTTTCCACACTTTATACATTTATGTGGCTTCACCCCTTTGTGGGTTCTTTGATGTTTAGTAAGTGTTCCATTTTCACTGAAGCTCTTTCCACACTCGGTACATTTAAATGGTTTCTCACCCGTGTGTGCTCTTTGATGCAAAATAAGGCTACTGCTCACAGTGAAACTCTTTCCACATTCCATGCATTTATAGGGTTTCTCCCCTGTGTGTGTCCTTCGATGACTTGTTAGGTGACACGACACACTGAAGCTTTTCCCACATTCCATGCATTTAAATGGCTTCTCCCCTGTGTGTGTTCTTTGATGTAAAGTAAGGCTACTGCTCACTCTAAAGCTCTTTTCACAAACCATGCATTTAAATGGTTTCTCTGCTGTGTGTGTTCTTTGATGTTTAGCAAGCTGATCTCTTACACTGAAGCTCTTTCCGCACTCAATGCATTTAAATGGTTTCTCCCCAGTGTGGGTTCTCTGATGGTTGTTAAGGCGATTCCTCACACTGAAGCTCTTTCCACATTCAGTACATTTAAATGGTTTCTCCCCAGTGTGGGTTCTCTGATGTATAGTAAGACTGCTGCTTATACTGAAGCACTTTCCACACTCCAAGCATTTATATGGTTTCTCCCCTGTGTGGGTTCTCTGATGTTTAGTAAGACTCCCATTAAAGCACATTCCACACTCCCTGCATTGAAATGGTTTCTCCCCAGTGTGGGTTCTTTGATGTTTAATAAGATTGCAGATGACACTAAAGCTGTTTCCACATTCCATGCATTTAAATGGTTTCTCCCCCGTGTGGATTCTTTGATGCGCAGTAAGGCTACAGCTCACACTAAAGCTTTTCCCACATTCCATACACTTAAAGGGCTTCTCCCCTGTGTGGGTTTTTGATGCTTAGTAAGGTTACCACTCACACTGAAGCTCTTCCCGCACTCCATGCATTTAAAGGGCTTCTCCCCGGTGTGTGTCCTTAGATGTTTAGTAAGGCTACCACTCTCATTAAAGCTCTTTCCACACTCTCTGCATTTATATAGTTTCTCCCCTATGCGGATCTTTGAATGCCTATTTAGGGCTGATACATCTCCAATTCTTTCCCCACACACTGGGGACACTTTCCTGATACTTCTTTTGTGGTCTTCTAGTGGCATGAATTGTTCGTGGATGTCACCACTCTGAGAAGTAGAATGTGTTTTCCTCCAGTTCTTTGACGGGTCTCCTTCATGCCTTTTGGCTCCTCTTTCATTTCCTGCTTCCTGCTTGCCTGTTGATGATGACACCATCCATGGTTCCCTATAATTCTCAAGGTGTTGCCCATCATCTGTTGGGGCAAAGGGTTGGGGAGGGAGAAAAAAGAAAATCTCACTTGTATATCAGGGCAGTAACAGTATCTTTTTGCTGTTTCTTGGGCTTGAGCATCCCAGTTATTTTCCCTCATTTTGACAGATGCGACACAACTGTGGTGTCAAGTTTCAACAAGACTGTACCCTATGGGTGGAATTCAACATCGCACAATTCCAGTTGTTCTGCCTACACAACCATATAAGCTTCCCAGACGTAAAAGTTATCAAAATATAGATAAAAATCAGTAAAGTGGTACCTCGGGTTAAGTACTTAATTCGTTCTGGAGGTCCGTACTTAACCTGAAACAGTTCTTAACCTGAAGCACCATTTTAGCTAATGGGGCCTCCTGCTGCGGCTGCGCCACAGGAGCACGATTTCTGTTCTCATCCTGAAGCAAAGTTCTTAACCTGAAGCACTATTTCTGGGTTAGCGGAGTCTGTAACCTGAAGCGTATGTAACCTGAAGCATATGTAACCTGAAGCGTATGTAACCCGAGGTACCACTGTACAGTCGTACCTCGGTTTCCGAACGTAATCCATTCCAGAAGACCGTTCCGAGTTCAGAAACATTTGGAAACTGAAAAGTCAAGACAGAAGTCGTGTGGCATTTCGAAAACCGAAATGCTTGTTGATGGGGATGTTCGAAAACTGAGGTAAAGGTAAAGGGATCCCTGACCATTAGGTCCAGTCGCGAACGACTCTGGGGTTGCGGCGCTCATCTCAGCTTTATTGGCCAAGGCAGCCGGCGTACAGCTTCCGGGTCATGTGGCCAGCATGACTAAGTCGCTTCTGGCGAACCAGAGCAGCGCACGGAAAAGCCGTTTACCTTCCTGCTGAGCAGTCGCGGGGATTCGAACCGTCGACCTTCTGATCGGCAAGCTATTTCCCCCCCGGCGCTGCAATTCCCAGAGTGGTTTATCAGTCAACCCCTCTATTTTGTAGCTCTTCCGATGGTAATACCTAACGACGAAAGGGGAAGAAAGTGCCCTCACCTAGAGAGGTCACCGTCTCATAATTCTCCCCCATGACTTCCTTGTGCAGAGCTCTTTGGCCAGGATCCAGCAGAGCCCACTCCTCCTCCGTGAAAAACACAGCCACCTCCTCAAAGGTCACCAAACCCTGGAAGAAGACAGAGAAGGAGGAGGAGGAGAAGGCGAAGAGAGAACTTCTCCTTTTTTTAAAAAAAAAAATATCTTTATTAATTTAAATTACACACTTATACAAAGAATTCACAAATAATTTACAATCTCATACCACAAAAAGAAAATTAAAGAAAAACAATTAAGAAAAAAGAAAAGAAAATATAGAAAGAAGAAAGAAGAAAAAGCAAATTTACGTACATAAAAAAAACCTTAATCTTCCTAATTAACACTTAAATAAACACTTAAATAAAAAAGACTTCTGTCAAAACGAGTCTTCCAAACATTCTCATTGTACTGTTTATACTGTCGTCGTTTCCCCCGCACAGTTTTATATTCTTTAATATTGTTCCCGTCTACTCCACAAACCGTATTTGTTGTGTTTACAAGTATCACTCAAGTTCTGCTAATATGGTGTGATTGGTACAATATGATCTTATACAATCCTTAAATATTCTCCATTCTCCAACATACACCATTTTCCCAGTTTGAAAAGAAAATGGATGTGTGCATTCATTCATTCAATTGCATCTGAGAACCATAGAAGGCTTCATGTGACAGAATACCGTATTTTTTGCTCTATAAGACTCACTTTTTCCCTCCTAAAAAGTAAGGGGTAGTGTGTGTGCGTCTTATGGAGCGAATGCAGGCTGCACAGCTATCCCAGAAGCCAGAACAGCAAGAGGGATTGCTGCTTTCGCTGTGCAGCGATCCCTCTTGCTGTTCTGGCTTCTGGGATTCAGAATATTTTTTTCTTGTTTTCCTCCTCCAAAAACTAGGTGCGTCTTATGGTCTGGTGCGTCTTATAGAGCGAAAAATACGGTAATTATTATTATTACAGGTCAACCTGACATAGGATCATAGAAGTGCAGAGTTGAAAGGGCCCCAATCCCCCTCCCCACAGGCACCGAGGCTGCCCCTCCCTCTCTCTCCAGATCTCCTTCCCTTACCTGAGGTGACTTCTCAGAGGATCCAGGCCATGCCATGGCAGAGGAGTAAACTAAACCAGCTCAGGGGCTCTCACAGCTGCTGCCACCAAGAGAGTAACTCCAGCAGGATCATTCCAGTGCCTGCAGGGGAGCCAGGAGTATGGTTTAGGGGTGTGTGTGAGAGGTTTTTTTGTTCCTGCTGCAGTCAAACCTTGGTTCCCAAACGCCTCCCTTTTGGAACAATTCGGCTCCCAAATGCCAAAAACCCGGAAGTAACGGCTCTGGTTTTCGAACGATTTTCGGGAGCCGAACATGCTACGCAGCTTCCATTTTTCGATTCCTTGTATACGCTATCCATGTATAAGACGACCCCTTATTTTAAACTTCAAAAATTTAGGAAAAAATATAGTCTTATGGACCTAATTTATAATGAAGAAAAGACCCTGAGTTATTGGCACAGGCACAAGATTGGCACAGTTGACCTAAGCCAGCCTTCTGAAACTTGCTGCCAGCCAAACATCCCAGACTACACTTCCCATAATCATTGGCCATTGCGCAAAGCGGCTGGAGCAGGATGGGAGTTGTAGTCCAACCGCACCTGGGTCGCCGGGGGCTGTTCCTAGCTGAGCAGCTGGCGGCATTATTGATTTATTGGCTTGACTGATTGATTTTAGAATTTGTTAGGACGCAATGGATTGCTTTGAAGTCATTTCAGCACCAGGTGGAAGAGGAAATCTCTCCCCAGATAAACGGCGGGCGGGGTGTGCACGTGCGCTTTGATCTTCCCCTCCAACAACCCCCCCCTTCCCCCTCCAATTGCACATTCCCTGGGGAGGCTTCAGAGAGCATTTTGCAAGGGAGACGGTGCAGCGGTTCGGGACGCATCCTGCGGCTGCGTTGCATGGGTCAGCGCGCGCGCGCACGCCTATGGATTAGGAGAAAGCCAAGAGGGGAAGCTGAAGCTCCCTTCTCCCCCAGTATCCTTCAAGATCTCCCCCCCCCCCTTGCAAAAAAGCAAATTCTTAATTCTGTGCATTGCACCTCTTTGTCTCTGCACGCTCCGATCTCCTCCTCTGCAATCCGGTGTCTCCTCTTGGAATATGCAGAGAACCCCCACCCACCCCAATTCTCCCCCCTCCTTCGTATTGCAGCGTCCTACCTCTCTAGGAAACCAGAGCTCGGTTCCTTTCCTGGAGGGCTGAATGACATCAGCTGGGTGTTCGCCCCCCTCACTCCCCCTCTTTACCCACCCACCACCCATTTGGTCGGGGTCTGGCTTCAGCAGAGGTCCCCAAAGGGAGTTGCAGCAGCCCTTGTGGGGGTGCCAAGATCATAGTGTTGGGAAGGGACCCTGAGGATCATCCAGTCCAACCCCCCTGCAATGAAAGAATCTGCAGCTGCCCCTTACGGGGATCAAACCTGCAACCTGGGCGTTATCAGCAGTGAAAGAAAAAATTTAAGGTCTTATATATATAAGAAATGTTCATAAATGTACCAAGCAAACACGTACATTATATAAACCACATGTCTGAAGCAGCACAGGAAAACAGCCCTGGAGCCATTTTGGCTCCCAAACTGACCAAATGATTTCTCTGCAAGGTCAAGGAAAATGGAAACACCTCCCCATTGTCTTTTCCTCCACAAATCCGGTCTTAAGGGTATGTCTGTGTATGAATAGGTTGGGCCTATGACTTGGCTCAGGAACTAAGTATTTATCATTACAAAAGACTGGCCAGGCTCCCCAGGGTATCCAGTCAAGTAAGCATTAAGAGGTAACCTGCCAGACAGGAGATAAACAACGCACTCAGATTTCTGTTGTAGACCACCCTTTCTGTGATGCATGTATGATGTTTCTGGGGGTGGTCTTGACTCCAGGGCAGGCAATTTAAAATGTCTATATAAGGGTGGACACACCTTTGTTCTGGGTCCTCCTCCTCCTGCGTGTGAAGGGGGCACCCTGTTGCAACAGTTCAATAAGATCAGGCTTACGAGCTGCTTTGCTTCTCAATATTCTCTGGTTGGCCTCTGTTATTTTCTCCGACCGATGGAGAACCTGCAAAGGACTCTATAAGGGCTCTTGTGTCCCCCATAAGAGAATAAGGGCAGATTTTTGTTTATTACTGCAGCTAAGCAGCTGAGATATGAAGAGGCATAACCTTTTCGTTAAATTTTCAGATTTTACAAATTCTTTTAGACAACACTCAGAATAAATCTCTCCTATCCACTGACTTCCCATCCAACCTTCCATGCTGTTCTTTTCTTACCACATAAAGCTGTTATATTACTTATATTTCACCCGTTATATGCATTCAGTCTTACGGTATTAAACTACCAATTCTCATCTGTTGCTATACTTCAGATCCTGTGCATTTAAGAGGAAAATGAGGAAAGTGGAACATTGCAGTTAAAGCCTCTTGTCAAGGACATTGCAGACATTTCTACATTTGGGTGCCCTTCAGATATACCGTATTTTGCGCCCCATAGGACGCACTGGCCCATAGGACGCACCTAGTTTTTTTTGGGGGGGGAATAAAGAAAAAAAAATTATTTCCCCCCCAGGTGCGGGGCTGGAAGAACCAGGTCGGGAAACAGCGGGAAGGCGCGCTCCGCCTCCCCGCTGTCCCCCGAGCTTGTGGGGCTGGCGATGGGGAGAAGTGCGCTGAGCCCGGGACTGCAGGCACCTCTGCGCGGTCATCGGGAGCCGGGCGCGAAGCCGGCATTCGCCCCATAGGATGCACACACATTTCCCCTTCATTTTTGGAGGGGAAAAAGTGCATCCTATAGGGCAAAAAATATGGTAATGTCCTGCTTGAGGTTTGTGTGTGTTTTATATGTGAAAGATCAGAGCCAGCTCCAATGAAATGCCATATGACGAAAAGAGCAGAGGGCTGTGCTTTTATGTAGAGCCCAAGTTAGTTGCGGTTCTTCTTATGAAACATGAAATTTATTACGGTCAGAGACCAGCTTAAGAAACACAAATGGACCTACAGTCCCAATACCAAAACAAACATTTAAAACAATATACAACAATGGATTTTAAGTTTAAAAGTGCAATAGGCATATAAACACATAAAAACTTTGATAGACAACCTTAAGAGAAATGACCCAGAGTCGCCCATGGATCCGAGTTTGGGAATTTTCTTAACAAACTAGATTGAATCGGGGGATGGTCTGCGCCTACAGATCTGTGCGCAGAATCTGGCGACAATCCGGGTCGTCTTGTGGTCTTTGCCTAACAGGAGAAGATCGAATTTTTGCTTTACCTGGATGTCAGCAAGCCTCACCAGCAGGGGGTCAATGGTTTCTCTACTTCGTAAAAGGGACATCTAAAAAATCTGTGTTCAGGGCTTCCCATATCCCCCAATGGACAGGCGCAAATTCTCTGGTCCCATACGACTTTATTAAGGTTCTTCTTAATAAAAGTTAGCACTTCAGTGGAAAAGCTGAAGAAAATGAATATGTGAGAACCATGGTTGGCATCGTCTGTCTCGAAAAACAATGAAGTGTGCCTTAGGGGGGTGTGAAGTCAAGTTAGCACCTCCTGGCGTGGTTACAAGTGTAGTTTAAATGAAACGGGTAATGTTTGCCTGGCGCCTTACTTAGCCTTTGGCTGGGCTGAGCTGATGGAATGAATGCCCTAGGAACGTACCCACAAAATTGTCGAGAGCAAACAGGGCCCAAGATGCCCAAATCTGTATGGGAAGATTTACAGTGGTACCTTGGTTCTCAAACGCCTTGGTATTCAAAGAACTTGGAACCCAAACACTGCAAAACCAGAAGGAAGTGTTCCGGTTTGCGAACTTTTTGTGGAAGCCAAATGTGCTCCGTTTTGAGTGCCACACTTCCGTTTTGAGTGTTATGCTGAGGTCTGTCTTTGCTATTTATTTTGCGCTTTTGCGGCTTTTTTGTTTTGTTTTTGTGACTGTGTGGAACCCAGTTCAGCTACTGACTGATTGATTGTGTGACTGAAGTACAGTGGTACCTCGGGTTAAGAACTTATTTCATTCTGGAGGTCCCTTCTTAACCTGAAACTGTTCTTAACCTGAGGTACCACTTTAGCTAATGGGACCTCCCGCTGCTGCTGGGCCGCCGCTGTGCAATTTCTGTTCTCATCCTGAAGCAAAGTTCTGAACCCAAGGTACTATTTCTGGGTTAGCTGAGTCTGTAACCTGAAGTGTATGTAACCCGAGGTACCACTGTACATTGTTTACTGCTTTCATTTTATGGATCAATGGTCTCGTTAGATAGTAAAGTTCATGTTAAATTGCTGTTTTAGGGGTTGTTTTTAAAAGGTCTGAAACGGAGTAATCCATTTTGCATTACTTTCTATGGGAAAGCACACCTTGGTTTTGGAACGCTTTGGTTTTGGAACGGACTTCTGGAACGGATCAAGTTTGAGAACCAAGGTACCACTGTATATGAAATACATCATCATCAGACCAATGAACGCAGTGGCCAAGTTTGCCGACAATACTAAATCGTTCAGGACCTCTTCAACAGGAGTGAGTGGCAGTAAAATGGCAAATGCAATTCAATGTGAAAAAAAGAAAGATAAAGTTTTGGGTATAGTGGCGGGGTGGGCTGGGGATATTAATTTCACATATAAGCTCATGGGGTCTGAACTGATGATAACTGACCAGGAAGAAGACCGTGATGGTGACCCAGTATGTGGCAGCTGTGGAAAAGGCAAATTCCATGCTAGGGAACAAAAGAAAAAGAAAAAGCTCATCCTCAGCCTTTCACCCCCACCCCAACATTCTCAAGTGTAAAAAACACAGTTAAGAGAATAAAGAAAACCTCAAAATCTACATTTTAGCGGGATATGAATTGTTCATTTCCCCCCACCAAACTCACAAGCCCCAGACTCTGAGTTCTACATACTAGCTGTGTGCCAGGCTTACGACGCATGGGCTTGAAAAGTAACTTGTACAGTCAAGTGACCTGTGAAGCTAAGAAAACTAAGAAAAAGTACTCAAATATTCATTGTAAATGGCACATCTGCATTTTTTTAAAAAAAGTTGATATTCACAATTATATGTAGAAAACGGAAGCTGAGCACTAGAGAACAATTACTGACATAACTGCAACAGCAACAAAGAACAGAGAGAGGGGGAACAAGTCTGCTGAGGAGTATAGAATCATAGAATCATAGAATCATAGAATCATAGAGTTGGAAGAGACCACAAGGGCCATCGAGTCCAACCCCCTGCCAAGCAGGAAACACCATCAGAGCACTCCTGACATATGGTTGTCAAGCCTCTGCTTAAAGACCTCCAAAGAAGGAGACTCCACCACACTCCTTGGCAGCAAATTCCACTGGAGTAGAAGGTGACAGAATTAAAAAAAAGTTGAGTTTGACTGGCATCCGTCCGTTCGGTGGAGCTAGCCACTCCACATTGCCAGAAGGGTGACTGGAGATCTGGGAGAGCCGGTATTGTTATTAACAAAACCATTGAAGAGAAGCAATTTATCCCGTTTCACTTTACCTTCAACAACTCTTCCGTGCTGGGTCAAATGTTCACATAAAGCTGTGCCCCAAATTTTACTGCACCACCCACCCTTGGTGGGCAAAGAGACCCGTTTCTGGTGCCATCGCTTGCCTCTGGTAACATTGCTAACAGGTCTTTGCACTGGACTCTGGGATCACTACCTGCTCCGACTGAGAACAGGGCTAGAATTGCATTATACAATCGTGCCTTTGTTTTCAAACAGCTTAGTTCCTGAACGTTTTGGCTCCTGAATTCTGCAAACCCAGAAGTGAGTGTTCCAGTTTCCAAACTATTTTTGGAAGCTGAATGTCTGACGGGGCTTCTGCGGCTTCCAATTGGCTGCAGGAGCTTCCTGCAGCCAATCAGAAACCGCACTTTCGTTTTCAAACATTCTGGAAGTCGAACGGACTTCCAGAACAAATTCTGTTCAACTTCCAAGGTACAGCTGTAATGACAATGCTGCCCACCTGAGAGGTGTTGGAATTGAGTTTTCCCAGCAGGGAAAAAAAGCCCTGGGGCAACCCCACCCCAAATGAAATACCAATCCTCTTTCACCCCTCCAGCACAACGGCGAGGCCCCCTTGGCAGCATATGAAAATTCAACTGGTATCCGGTGCCATCTCCGTGGGCACGAGCGAGATCCTCAAACCACGCCTTTGTTC